TCCTCTTGATTCACTGTTTCACGAATTTGATTGTTTTAGAGTAAAAGTTAGACGATAGGCAAATTTATGATTGATTCGACTGATGACTAATTTGAGTGTACCCAGCTGATATTTGAGAAAGAAATTCAGTGAGGCACATATGATATACTTTTGTACTCGAGAGTTTGTGTCCTTCAAAATAGCCAAGTTAATAGTTGAGGTGTGCTCTTGTGATCATTTGAATTCTTCTTGACTTGATTGATTAGTTTGAGATTAGTCTTGCTTGAACCGTTTTCCTTGCTCGTTTGTTTGTTTTTCTTTTCTTTTCCTTTCTTTTTGTTTGGGACGAACAAAGGTTTTAGTGTGGGGGAGTTGTTTATCCTATTTTTGTTACCTTTTTGCTTATTGGTTTATAGGTTTTTAGCCCCCGGTTTAGGTCTTTTGATAGGATTTTCGGTCCTCGAGTCGTTCATTTCGTGTAGTTGTCGTTATTTCATTGTTTTCGTATTTTTTGTTGTTTTTCTCTATTTCCGGTGTTTTCTTATTCTTAGAGGTGTGCAGGTTTGGATCATTGACAGTCGAGTTGTCTCGAATATACAAAGTACATGTCTCGGCTTTACAAGTGCACGAGTAGTCCTGTTGACACACCGCGAATCGTCCCACGCTGCGGCACTTCATTTCCCTTCACGCCGCGACGATTCCCGCGAAGCCTTAATGGACCTTCAGATGGTCCCTTTCAGTCTCCACGCCGCGACACCTCCCTTCTCCCACGTTGTGAGCCATGCCGCGGCGGCCTCAAGCGCCGCGCCACTTCCATCTCTCACGCCGTGAGACTCCTAACGGATGGACAGAGACCCTGACTCTCCAGCTATGCCACGACGTGGCAAGCCTAGCGCCGCGGCAGTTCAACTCCTTCACGCCGTGATTGAAGACCGCGATTTGCTTCACGCCTGCCACATCATCACGTCGCGCCGCGGCGCTGGATCGTTTGAATGTCGAAACCGTCCGCGTTTAAGTAGGATCGAGCATATGGTTTATTGATTCTTCTTCAGACTTTGTTTTCTCTTGTTCTAGGGAGACGAAAAACTTGTTTCTCTTATCTTTGCTTATTTTGAGATTTTTTGTAGTGACACCCAAAATTATTTCATTTATCGTAAGTTTTCTTCTCATTTTGATTATGAGTTTGGAATATTTACTTTATACAATGCTTTGTGTTCATCTTGGCATGAGTAGCTAAATCCTTAAGCTAGGGATAGGGGATGATTACTCATATTTGTGTACTATCTTGCTCGTGATTTTTGTTCAATCTATTCGAGTTGAATTATACCTAGGGTTAGATGCTTGATCACCATCTTGATCTATTTAATCGACTTGTAGAACCGAAAGGGGAGGAGTTGGTCAATTTAGGCTCGATTAGAGTAGGCTTGTTTGTAATTGTATTGCCTACGTGTTGTTTGATTGGATTGATTTGCCGTCTATGTTTTCCCTCTTGTTACGAAAAGTTATTAAGGATTAATCTCTAGACGTGTAGGTTGATCAAATCATCTAGCCGAACAATCTTTGCTTGATGTGTGCATTTGGTTTGAGGATAATCATCCCCGATTCCCTAGCCTCGTACGTAGAAGAAACTCGTTTTAAGTCATTAGTAATTGTTTATTTGCGTTGTTTGCGAATCTTTAGCTTATAATTGAAAACCTACATCATTGAATTAGAGTGTTTAAGAATTTATTTTCTCTTTAGTGTGATTGAATATCCGTACGAATAATCCGACTAACCTTCCTTGAATAACGACCCGGGGATTGAATCCTTTGATTTAACTCTGATAAAAATAACAATTTGTGTTACAACATAAAACCTAGACTCTAATACCATCTTAGGCGAACCAGTACTCTCAAAATCAAAATGACTACCCAAATCTGAAAAATGGGTAACCAAGCTGATCCATCTGTATAAGCGTACGGAGTCGGAGAGGGATGTCGTCTGGCTGGAAAATGCGCCACTGGGAAGTGGAGGCACCGATGCAAGCTAGGAAGTCAGCGGGTTGGCTTGAACAGTCTGAAATTGGTTCCTGATGCTCGATTTCTTTTTCTTTTTCCTTTTCCCAGAGACTGGAGAAGAACTTGTATAACCAGACTACTTTTTCAAACTATGGAAATTTTCTTTCTTGTTTTTCTTTCTAATTAACCGATGTTGATCCAGCCTTGAGCAAAAGATTTTGTATCGTCTTCTATATTTCGCGAATGTCTTCGGAGTACTTAGAAAAGCCTGAAACAATTATCAGATTGAAATATTATAACTCATCACTATATTTGATTTAATGAACTCTATTGATAATCTCATAAATTTGTTTGTAAAAATTAGTTTACCCATAAGTTATCCATATGATACTTCTTTTGTTTTGTCAGTGTTGGGATTATTCTATGCACTCTTGTCAATGCTTGTTGAATATATCTATTTATCCCAATGAATTAACATATTCTTGGTGTTATTGGTCGTACATCTTCAAAAATTGAAGATGTATATTATAGTGTAACATTTTGGACAATTTTCAGTATCCATTTTTTAAATATTCCTCACCAAAATTGAACTACCATATAATAAATTCATCTACGAGTTCTTAATAAAACTTAGACTCTAATACCATCTTAAGAAAACCAGTACTCTGAAAATAATTTCAGGTACTAACATAAAGAAAATAGGTACTGCATGGAATTTACAAGCACTTTTGAAAGACAATTGTACTTATGTGAACAAAAACATGTACCCTTATTCAAAATATATAAGGTTGTCAAAACCAGACCGGTCATTGAACCAGTCAAACTACTGGTTCAATGGTTCACTGGTCCGATCAGTGGTTGAACCGGTTGGACCGTTATTTAATTTGTCAATATTTTTAAATATATATAATAATTTATATAATATAATTTATATATAAAAGCTTTGTTAATTAAATATTAAGATAATTTAGAACATTCAAATACTTAAACTAACTAATAATAACTTATACATGTCCATTATATTAAAATATATATTTTTTATTTAAATATGTATTTTTAATTTTACTGAAATAAATTAAATATATATTTTTTTATTTAAATAGCAACTAATAGTAGGTTGGTTATATATAAATTTTTAATTTTTGAATATTACAACTTAGTTACGAGAAACACTTTGGTTAATTTAGAGAACCGAGTGAACGCAGCCAAGGAGGGTGTACTTAGTTACGAGTCACATACGTAATGCAACTATGAGTCACACTTCTGGTCACCATTGGCTGTAAGTCGATTAAATGTTGGTCACCATTGGGGTCCACATAAATTTCATTCTATGAGCCCAACCCAAGGGATATGTATCTAAGGCCCATTTAATAGTGTCAAATATTTAATAAACTAGGCCCATCAACACTTGGTGACACATCCCACATCGAAATGACAAGAAAAGGAGTTCTGCTATTTAATTGATCATTTTGGGATGCACAATCACAAGCTTCCACATTCAAGTGTTGAAACCGTTTAACCCGTGAAACCGGTCCCAGTTCTTCCGGTTTGGACGGTTTTGGAACGGTTTAATGGTATGGATGTCGGTTTTAATGGAGCAAACCGAACCAGAATACAGGCTGATTTTCGGTCTAATCGGTTGAACTGACCGGTCCGGTCTGATTTTGAGAACATTGAGAATATAGGTATTAGGACAAAATCGTATTTTTAACTTTAGAGAGGACCAATTATTTTGGCCTTACTCTTTGACTAGGAAGTAGACTGAAAAGAATTTGTCTACGATGTTGGATTTTAGAAGTACGAACCTAGCGCATGCGCAGCGAAATTTTAGAAAGTTTCTTACCAACAATGAAGATCCAATTATAGCTATTCGATATTACCCTAGGTCGCGTGAATTACAATTGTTCGTCTCTGCCCTTGACTATGGTATCCACGCAATCCAGTTTTTCGGTGCACGATCCAACGCCAACGAATACCTTTCGGTAAAGAAGCTAGGAATCCTCAATCCAGAAAGCTAGAGAGTGTTTTATCTTTTGATGTTGATCTCTCAATCTCTAAGATTTGTGATCTGTCAAATGTTTATCAAGACATCAATCAATGACGGTGAAGAGATAATGAGATATTTGTAGTTAGGTCAAACCTAATTATATGGCCCAATAGGTAATTGGACCTAATCCAATTGATAATTTAATTAAGTAGAAATCCAGTTTAACTTAATTCATAACTAAATATTCCAATAATTGAATATCTAACACTCCCGATTCACTTTTAGTCAAAAAACTGATTGCATATTGTTTGACCTTATAGGCATTCATAGGCATAAAACTAATTCATGATCCTTAAGAAACTCCTAGATTGCGTTGAATAACGAACTCAAATTATGAAGTATGTTTAAATGGACAAAACAAACAAACTTTTAGTGTAGAACTCAATGGTGATACGGTCAATTCATTCATGAACCACTCCAAGGACTCGAGCGTGTGTTTATCCAAACGACTTAATCATTTTATCTCATCTTACTGGTTGACTTTAATCAATTATATTTGAACATCATTTCAAATATAATCACGTGTATTGACCAATGACTTTATCAACCCAGTATAGAGAAAATGAGAGTTCTCTCAAAACTATATTCGAGGAATGAATCATAATCTTGGCTCAACTACAAATTCCATATACCGTGATTAACCCAACACAAGTCCGTATCTACCCCATATGGAGCGTAAGCATTGGACTAGGTCTAACTAAATCACTCTATACATGAATTGTGTAATGACCTCAAGTCAAAAGACTATTACACCATTCTACACACTGCACTCCCATAGACAAATAAACAAATAGTTTATCGGTAAGATATACCAATACTCTCCAAAATATCCATGTGTTCATCACGAATAACAATTATTCATAGTAGTGAGACATACTATATTCGTTAAGAATATGATGCAAACCACATGTCAATCTATCACGAATCATTAATATCCTTTTTTAATGATTATCGATTTGAAAGTTATACATTATCAATTAACATCTCACTCTGTTAATGACCGTATTAACTCAAGGGAGACATTAATTAATAAATTACAAACAATCAAATAATTGTTTAATTAATTGCACTACCATAATTATAATCTAATACAATACTAATGTAATCATGTATATATGTCCTCGAAAAGAATGTCTCTAGGACCCATATACCAACAAACTAATCACAAAAGTAATTTTAGGATTGAGGATTTTCCTATAAAATACCATTAAATAATTATATTAGCATTTCTTATAATATAACACATAGAGATACAAAATTGACCCTTGATGTCTGGTCTAGTTAAAAGAAGAAAAGAAAATAATTACGATAAACATTATTAAAAGAGTAACCCGACTCAAGTTTGAAGGATATATTCACTACTGTTGGGCAGGCCTAATCGTTAGGCCATTCTATTTTTTTTTAACAAAATTAGATTCTGTCATACACGAGTAATGTACTCTTAACACAAAGTAATTAACAAAAATCAGTAGTAATTCACGGAGTGGCACTGTCAACATTTGAGGAACATCAAAACTATACCATTTCACATCATAGATATAAAAATTATGTGTAGATGACAAAACAATTTTCGAATCTAGGCTCCAAGCATAGTATCAATTTTGGCTTCTCTTAAACGCTTAAATATTTGAGTTTTACTTGGCTACAGAATGGCATGGGGTAAATAAAAAAATAAATACATGACTAGAAACATCTTTACCTTTACCAGCTCCAGCAAAAATACAAAGAAAAACAACAGCCATACAACCATCTCTACAACACAAATCATTTCTGCACACAAATAATTTCTGCAGCTGTAGCAGTGAAGATAATTAGTTCAACTTTGTGAAAATTGATTTAATGGCTTTTAACCCTAAATTTTTTCTGATTCTTGCATGGACCAAAATCTTCTTTCCTCAGTATATAAAGTATGTGCTATCAAAAATGAAGGCGAGAATGTAAAGATAAAATTACTGAATCATAAATGGCACGATTTTAGGATGGGATTACTGCAGCAGGTGAAAACTTGTTCGTAGTACTTATCTGACAGTGATTGTGACAGTCTTCCCCAGAACAAAGAAAACAAGCGATAGCTCAGTAAAGAAGATTGTATTAATGAGTATCCGATCAATTACCCATCCAAAGATTGTGAATCCACCAGTATTCGACTGCACATACGCAACTACAAAATGAAGTGTAGCACAATGAGAATCTAGTTAAAATACATGATAAGAGGAAAATAAAATAAAACATAATACAACATGATGTGATGTAAGATAAGACAGTGAAAAAAAAAATAATGTAAAAAAGTATATATACATATACATATATAATGAAAGCAAAGCCTAGATCATTTCTGTATCAATTATAGATAGATAACATGTTAAAATCGTTGAATTGCCTTCGATTTGTTAATTTAACATGTAGTGGCCATATAGTTAAGTAGCAACTCAAGCATTTGCGATTGATAAAAGATACTGAGCAAAAAAAAATAAAGATCTGGTGCTAAAACGCAAGAGGAAAACAGCTGAGCCTCAAAATGTTGCAGCAAGCATTCTTCCCCTACCATTTTAAGTCTAGATTAAAAAGTTAGCCTTAATGCGAATCTTTCTGATCTAATTTGGTACAGATTGGCTGATGCATCAACTTATGGATAAAGTACACCAAATCATTAAAACTGTAGTGAAAACTGAAAACACTATTGAACTTAAAATACTATAGTTACCGATAACATTCAAGGATTATTGTGCATTGTTTTGCGACAGTATTTATTAGCATACGTATGATATTCTTCCAAAATATATAATGTTACACCCTCTTTTCATTTGTAAGTTGAATGGGTAAAATCTATAGGTTCATATGGACTTTGGGGAATACACTAGTAAATGAGTAGAATTTTTATTTTATCAAACTATATACATGAAACTGAGATTGGACCATAGTAACATTATAAATCATGCAATTGATAAAATTTTATCATACCAAAGGCTTGCCTCCTATTATATGATGTAGAAGAGGTTGGCTGCACATTTGCCGGCAGAGGCATGTAATCAGCTGACTCCAAATCACTCTCTGAATAATTTACAGATAATGAAGCTGCAGTCGTGCAGAATTCAGAATTTCCAGAATTTTCAACAACTGCAGATCGCAAATCCTCATTAGAATTGCAAGTAACCAAAGCATGCCATCTACTAGCAATTGAACCAAGACTCTGGGCTCTATGTGATATCTTTGCCGCCACATTAAGACAGAGAACTATTCCCACTAATTGAACGATCGATAGCACCTGATGACAATGAAATAGCAGATGAAGTGAAAGGGCGACATTACTTAATTAAAATAACAATTCCTGGAAACTAGTCATGCATACACAAGGATCTTGACAAGTTAAACAATTAGTAGGCCCCAGATCCTGTAAGCTACAAGATATCTGATATTTCAAATTCCATCAAATTCATTGAAAACAGGCAGATTATTAGTAATCTATTGACAATCATACATTTATTAGTAATCTAAGAGCATTCAACATCGGTATAGCAACATCAATAAGTCCAGGAAATTTAAGTTCGACGAACTTAATAACAATATCGATTTCCAATACCTATAGAATTGTGGTACTGCACTATTCTGTTCAAAGCAAAAGGGATACTTACCGCAAAATCACCTCCGTTGATGAAGTTGATGATACCCTGATTCTCTGTAGTCTGCAGTAAAGACATAAACTGACTAGCTGTGATGACTAAGAACTCCAGCAGAAGGAATATCCTGAATCTGTGACTTATTTTTGACAAGTCATAGGATAGATTCATATGCTCCTCTATATAAGCCGAAACATCCAAATCCCTCTCAAGAAGCTTCCCGTAATTCTCAAAGTGTATTATTTGCAAATTTCCGACCAAATGAAACAAAGCACATCCGGATAGAAAGACGAGTGTTGAATAAGACCATGACAACAGACAAACGAAAAACAAGGTGACGGACAACCACAAAGGACCATGATGCATATAAACCAACCGAGTAACCTCACGTGCTGCCTTCAATAAAAAGCAAACCCCGAACCATGAAGCCAGCAAGCAGTAAAAAACCTGAGCATCATTTAGGACGAATGAAACTAAACATTCAAGCAGATATCGCAGGAAAACTATTCAGATAAAACGGGTCTCCAGAAATGTAGCAATCCTGTATGAATGAAACTCTTTTCTATGTGGTGCACCAAACTAGACTAATAATAATCACTGTGATCTAATACCAGAAATCATGATCAACATCATTAATAAATTTCCTCCTTATGCTACGTAAATTAAACATATAAGCACATCTTTCTCTATCAAGAGTTAAAACTTTGTTAATAACTTTGCCCAGCAAAACACCACAATAAATTCTTGCATCCATACACGCAAAATAAAAAATAAAAAATAAAAAAAAAAAAGAAAGAAAGAAACTGGCTCGAATTTATTCGATAACAGCCTTAGAAATTCGACAGCAGATCCAGTAATTTATTTCGGACGAAGTAATCGCACTGTGTGTTTGCGTATCCTAATAAAAAGTGTTCTTGCATCCATACACGCAAAATAAAATAAAAGAAAAAAAGAAAGAAACTGGCTCGAATTAATAACAGCCTTTAGAAATTCGACAACGGATCCAATTTATTTCCGACGAAGTAATCGCACTGAGTATTTGCGTATCCTAATAAAAAATTCTTACACGGATCTTGTGAAGATACTGTTTGCGGAACTGAGTGACGTGGCCGTGGCAACGATTGACGAAGAGGGCCTTGCGTATCCCGTGCTTGCTCAGATTCCGGGAGACGCAGAGGAGTGAAATGGCGGCGGTGACCGCCCGGGAAACGAGGATGTCGAGCTCGAAAGTCTGGATTTCGAACTTGTCGCAGCCGCCGGTGCACCTCAGCAGCTCGAGCGCGAAGAGGGGCAGGGCGACGGCGAGCAGAGAAAAGGCGGCCCAGGAGACCGTGGCCCTGAGGCAGCTGCACTGGCGGAAGCCGAGGAGGGCGAGGAAGTTGTCAAGAGTGGTTAGGGATCGGTCGAGCTCCGAGTCGGGGTGCTGCACCTGAGGCGACGCCATCGAGATGCCAGACTGTAGGGAGAGAGAGAGAGAGAGAGAGAGAGTAGAGTAGGAGTAGAGTGTATAGAGAGAGAGATTTAAAAATGGTGGGTATTTGAAGAGGAGAGAGAAAAGTCAAAGCATGGCCTCTTGGTTCCCTTCGCCAATTTTTATATTCTATGTAAAGCGAACTTCCGCGGCCTCACTACGTTACTGATGAAGAGTACAAACAATACCCTGCGCCCATCACCGACATTTAATTAAAAATATTATGAATATTTTTAAAAAAAAAAAATTATAGAAGTTTATATTTTTGAACTTTTAAATATTTCAAAAAAAATATATCATTATCTGTACTTTTAAAAAGTAACCGCAAAGTAGGCCCGACCCTAGGCCAAGGCAAGTTGGGCGATGCCCAGAGCCCATTAATGAAATGGGACCTCATTTATTAATAAATTACTAATTAGGGTGGTAGGACGTGAGAAACTGCTTTCTTCGATATCGATGCCGAAACCTTTGATTGGAGTATAATATTGATATGGGGAAAAAATATACATTTATTAGGCGACACGTGGCTCGGGAGAATAAAGACACGTGTACTCCAGAGACCGTTATTGTCTAAGGTCAAGGTTGAAGCCCAACCTCAAGATAGGCATAAGGACCCGAGGAGTCTCATCTTAGGCCCAAATGCCTGAGAAGTCTCACTTTAGGTCCAATGTCTAAATATGGCCCAACTGGTGGACCATAGCCCACTAAGTCAATAGGCTGGGAAGTCCTCCGTCTGCATAGGGAAGACCTAGGTCATCCTACCTCTATAAAAGGATGGCCTAGGTCAAGGTAAAGGATATTCTCTTCTCTACGAAATTTACAGCCACCATCTGAAAAACCTAACACCTATTCTAACTTAGGCATCGGAGGGTCTACCCCTGGGGACAACCCCGGGGTTCTGTTTTGCAGGCATCGGAGCAAAGGAGACGACTTCATGAGGACGTCGGAGCATCGATCGTCGCCACGTGTCTTCTGACTAACGTCAGGTAATTCTTGTATCATCAATTGGCGCCGTCTGTGGGGACCTACGACGTAGGAAGAGGATTCATGGTGATACGGAAGAGAGGTGAAACCAGTCGAGGGACGCGAGGCATTTCACGACATGATCAACCCGAAGAAAGCCAATCAAACTCTGAGGCTAACCCTAGCCAAGGCCAAAGTTCACAAGGTCCGGCGGCCTCGGAGACAGAGGCCGAACGACTGCAGAGGGTCGAAGAAGAACTCCTTGAACTGAAGACCCTGATGAAGGGTATGATGGAAAAAGAAGCATCCCAAGGTCAAAAGAATCGAGAAACTAGCCATGGCGAAGGTTCTAAAGCCCCCAATGATGAAACCGAGGTCAGATCCAAAAGAGACCTCGAGAGAGGAAATTTCACACATGAGGATGGCAACCTTAAGCAAAAGTTTGAGGAGATGAATGAAAGGCTCGGAGTGGTGTGGAAAGAGGTCAGAAAGCCGGCGTCGGATATTTTTTCACCCACCGAATCCCCTTATGTTGATAGCATCATGAAAGAGGAAATCCCCTCTAGCTTCAAGATGCCTCAGATGGAGAATTACGATGGAACATCGGACCCCCGTGACCACCTTGAGAATTTCCAAGCTCTCATGATGCTTCATGGGGAGACCGACGCCATCAAATGTCGAGCATTCTCGGCCACGCTAAGAAAAAGTGCCAGGGTTTGGTTCTCTTCGCTGCCAGCGGCCTCTATCTATACTTTCAAACAATTGGCACAAGAGTTCCTCAACCAATTTGTTAGCAGCAAACGGTACAAGAAAGCTTCAGCCCATCTTATGGGCGTTCGTCAGAGGTCGAATGAGACGCTAAGGGAGTTTATCCAACCCTTCAATGGAGAGGCACTAGAGATTGAGGACTTGGACCAGTCTGTGGCCTTAGCCGCACTCATGAATGGGGTTCGAAAGTCTTCAAGGTTTGCTTTCTCTTTGGCGAAAAGACCACCGCTATCCCTCCCTGAACTCTTCAGTAGGGCTGAAAAGTACATCAACGCTGTGGAGATGTCCAGAGCAGAGGATGAGCGTGAGACCTCTGACTGAAAGAGGACAAGGGACCCTGGTGATGATAATGGCGGAAAGAGGAAAAAAGTATGGGATAGGTTGTCTGTCAAGACCAGCTCATCGAAGGATCGGTTCAACCACCCGAGGTTTGAAAGGTATACTCTCTTTGCGTGCTACAAAGGATGAAATCTTGATGTATATTCAAGATAAGGACTATATCAGGTGGCCAACCAAGATGAGAACCCCAGCAAATAAAAGAAGTCGGGATAAGTATTGTCGTTTTCACAGAGACCACGGTCACGATACCGAGGACTGTGAAACCCTGAAAAACTAGATTGAGGACTTGATAAGCAGAGGATACCTTAAGAAATGTGTGGGAAAAGACAAAATCAGCCCTCAACCTCGGCGAAGACGCTCAAAGGATCGAAGTCGCAGTCCTAGGAGGGGTAATCCTAGGGCCCAAAGTTCGAGGAGGGAGAACAATCAAGTTGCTGGGGTCATAGCTGTCATCGTCGGAGGACCATCCGGCGGAGAAAGCAATTCTGCTCGCAAAGCATATGCAAGGCAACCTCGAACAAGTGAGCCGCAAGAGAAAAGGGCTCATAGGGAGACATCAATAACCTTTACAGGGGAAGACATGGGTAACATTCTAACTCCTCATGATGATCCCATGGTCGTTACACTTACGATCGGAAATTACGGGGTCAAAAAGGTGTTGGTGGATAGTGGCATCTCGGCTGATATCATATTCTATGATGCATTTGAGAAGATGAAAATTGGTCGTGAACGACTAAGGCCAGTCAAAACACCACTCATGGGGTTCACAGGTGAAACCGTAGAGCCGGAGGGAATTATAACTCTCCCGTTAACTGCAGGGGACTCACCCCAGCAGACCACGGTCATGATGGATTTCTTAGTTGTGAAGGTCCCCTCCAGTTATAACGTCATCCTTGGTCGACCAGGGTTGAACAAAATGAAGGTCATAGTCTCTACATATCACATGCTTATGAAGTTCCCGACTGAGAATGGCATCGGGAAAGTTCGTGGAGACCAAGAGGTGGCTAGGCAATGTTATGTAGCCTCACTCAAAGGTAAAAGAAAGAGCTCGGAGGCTCTGACCATAGAGAGCTTAGATCCAGAGGATGAAATTAAGAAAACAGGAGAACCAGTAGAGACCTTAGTCTCAATTGAGCTTTATGAAGGGGACAATGAGAAAGTTGTGCGAATAGGGTCCTCATTACCCGATGACCTTAAGACAAAGCTTGTCCGATTCTTGAGAGAAAATGCCGAAGTGTTTGCTTGGAGTCCATCTGACATGCCGGGAATTGACCCCGAGGTCATAGTCCACCGACTAAATATGGACCCTAGCTTTAAGCCAGTTCAACAGAAGAAAAGGGGTTTTGCTCCGGATAGGATCCAAGCAATCAATGGAGAGGTGGACAAGCTCTTAGATGCTGATTACATAAGGGAGGTAGATTATCCCGAGTGGTTGTCCAACGTTGTCTTGGTTTTGAAAACGAGTGGCAATTGGAGGATGTGCATAGACTTTACAAGTCTAAATAAGGCGTGTCCCAAGGATAGCTTTCCCCTACCGAGGATAGACCAATTGGTAGACGCCACCGCCGGATGTGAAATCCTCAGCTTCATGGACGCATTTCAGGGGTATCATCAGATAAGGATGCACCCAGGGGACGAAGCCAAAACTTCTTTTGTCACTGACCGAGGCCTATATTGCTACAAGGTCATGCCCTTCCATCTGAAGAACGCGGGGGAAACATACCAGAGGCTAGTGAACAAGATCTTTAAAAACCAGATTGGGAGAAACATTGAAGTGTACGTTGACGACATGCTAGCAAAGAGCCCACGTACGGAGGACCACATAGCTAACTTGGAGGAGACCTTTGCAGTATTGAAGCATTACAAGATGAAGCTCAATCCCAACAAGTGTGCTTTTGGGGTGACCTCGGGAAAGTTTCTGGGATACATGGTTACCCAACGAGGAATCGAGGCGAACCCCGAGAAAATCAAAGCGTTGTTGGATATGAATCCTCCTAAGTCAGTGAAAGAAGTTCAGAGGCTCACCGGGAGACTAGCCGCACTTAGTCGTTTCTTGTCAAAATCTGCAGAAAAGAGCCTACCATTTTTCAAAGTGTTAAGGAAGGCAAATATGTTTGCTTGGACAGAAGACTGTCAGAGAGCATTCGAGGATCTAAAATCTTACTTGGGTTCTCCACCACTTTTGATGAAGCCACAACAAGGAGAGGTGTTATACTTATACCTGGGAGTGTCGGATGCGGCTGTAAGCTCGGTGCTAATCCGAGAAGAAGATGGAGTCCAACTGCCGATTTATTATGTGAGTCGAGTCCTAGGAGGCGCGGAACTTCGCTATCTTAAGATTGAAAAGCTGGCATTGGCCTTGGTTATCTCAGCTCGTAAGTTGAGACCATATTTCCAAGCACATGTGGTGATTGTACTCACAGACCAACCATTAAAACAAATTCTACAGAAGCCGGAAGCCTCTGGGAGGCTGGTGAAGTGGTGCGTTGAGCTTAGCGAATTTGATGTTCAGTTTCGACCAAGGACGGCTATTAAGGCCCAGACCTTGGCGGATTTTGTGGTAGAGTGTATTACAGGAGACGAGCATACACCTCCAACAAGCGATGTGGTGCCAAACATCGAAGAGCCCATGGAAAGTTGTTGGACCTTGTATGTGGATGGATCATCAAATCAAAATGGAAGTGGAGCTGGATTGACCCTAACCAGCCCGGATCGTGATGTTTTTTATTATGCGCTAAGGTTCGAATTTAAGGCCTCAAACAATGAGGCTGAATATGAGGCTCTTATAACCGGACTAAAGATGGGGCTGGAGCTGGGCGCCCGACGTGTTCAATGCCATAGTGACTCACAATTAGTCGTATGTCAAAGTCGTGGAGACTATGAGGCAAAGGACCCCATGATGATCAGGTACCAAACTAAGGTGAAAGACTTGGTCTCTTT